CTAATTCCCTCCCTCTCCCGTCCCCGGACAACTCAATATTATCGGACGGATTGCTATATTATTACACCTAAATCGTTTGAGCTCGTGCGACTACGTAAACGAATGGTCCCTCGAGTTGAAATAATTACAATAAATTAGTATATTTTGTTGGCCGCAATAAACAGTCTCGAATGGGCCGAAAACATAGCAACGTAGTTACGATACCGAGTGAAAAATTATCTATACATGGTATATAATATTTCAGAGGATTTAAGTAAATGGAGACCTCTAAATCCCTAAGTACCTATAACTACATACACATAAATACTTACTAGTTGGTATATTATTGTAACATTATTATAAACCAAAATAAAATAATATAGTGTAAATCGTTGTAATTTACGTTTTAAAATCTTTTTTTTTTTTTATTTAGGTATATGAATATTATAAATTTTATATGTTGATTGTTGTAAAAATATGTTTCATCGAACAAAAACAATACAAAATGCTTACAAAAAGTAAATGTCAATTTTATAATTATAAAAAGAAAATATTTTCTTTTTTTAATACTTACAATCTAAAATATGTTTTTCAGTTTTAAATAGGTACTCTTAAAAATTAATAAGTATAAAATTATGACATTGTAATATTTTAAGCGTATATTAAAATGTATAACCTATTACAAATGAGTATATCAAATCAGTTTAAGATAAAATAATATTAGAATATTTTTACTGTAATTCATATAATACTATATAGTTGTTATTTTAACGAAACATTATTTGTGAGTCTTTGTTTTATATGAGATTTCATACGGTAAACATATTTTAAATATCTCATGACGATGATATAAAAACTATATAAATTGATGAAAAAAAATAAAATTGATTAGGTACTAGCAAAGCTGATTATGCGTAGTCTTAATCCTCGTAGATTTAAATAATAAAATGTAGATATCAAGTCAATACATTTTTTTTTTTTTTGTTTTTACGTGTAAGTCGAGGCATTTAGGTTTTCGCTGGCGTTAACTTACTATTAATGACTTTTATAACACGATGTTAACGATTTTTATTTTTTTTTTTATATTTTATATCTCAAAAATCTATATTAAAATGATCACATTTTTTTTTTTTTCAAACGATTTTGTCGATTATTTGAATACCTATCGATTTTCGTTTCATACGAAACAAAGACGTAAGCACATTATTAAGTCGAGTATAATTTTGATTAATCCAATTTCAATTTCAGCGTCGAAATGTTTTACGTTTAAATACGTAATTTTAATCAAATAATCTTAATATAGGCGGGAATCCAGATCTCCTGCATAAAATTATAAGAATTATAGAGGTTGTGATTCAACCATTCTACGATATCTGCAACTATATTTTTGGAAACTCAACAACGAATAATTTAGCGTTCAACGAAATAACATTATAATATAGGTGCATTCCCGATTGGTTTACATAATTTCATTCACATTCTATGCTGGTACGTAACAACACTATTAGTGTCTATCTAAATCATTGGTTCAACAAATCGCTCTAATAATGAAAAATATGTCTGAGTGTGTCCATTGAGTTATTGTCGTCTTTAATTTGTAGAATAATTTTTGTTTAAAACATATTGACAAAACGCCGCTGTGATGACCTCTCGACACTATATAGAGTTATTGTCAAAAATTTATATTTTCAATCATATTGTATAATATGCGTATTGATTTTGTGTTAAGTATACAAATATTAATTATATTTTACAATATTAAATCATTTAAAGTCACCATAGTACTTGTAATTAATCATTAAATTATACACATTGTGAATATTATATTTCGAGTAAAATTAACCAAAAAGTGAATATGAATTTATAGTTCACTTCTGATGGATTAAGCATTAAATATTAGGCAGCATTTCATAATTCAGTATTGTTGGAGTTGCCAGAATGACTAAGAAACTACCCGGTACAAAACATTTGGCATGATTTATTGTATTAAAAGGTCAAAATTTATTGTAGAATAGGTAATAAAAACAATTATTTAAAAATATCTGATACTGCTGATGAGTGTGCAACCGTTGTAGGTAAGAAGTTGTAAGGATAGAACACTAAAATTATTTAATTTATATCTATAAGCATCGATAAACCATTGCTAACAAAAAATTATTCTCAGCGAAGTTCGTTCGCTCTTGATTTAAAAGAACACAGTATTTACGATTTTTACACAAATTGAATTTTAAAACGATTATAAAAAAAACCTACTAAATTTCACTCTAGTTTTTTTTTTATTATCACAAACATAAAATGCCTAAAAAAAACTCAAAAATCGCCATAATGTTTTTAACATTTTATCACGTTTATAAAACACAAATATTAATCTTCTGTAAAATGTTAAGTCTCTACGAAATCATAACAGAAAAACAAAATTGAAAATAATGACGCCATTATTTTAATAAACTTTCTTGTTCTATCTACGTTTTTCCCGGTCTTACTCAATTATTAATAAAACTGCGCGGAAAATTGAAAAACGACTTACTTAAACACCAATAAGTTTAAAAATTCATCAAAAATAGCCCCTTGGCGTTCACTGATTGGAGCAAGTATTTTGTTCGAATAGTGGTTTAAAACCGGTAACAATGAAAACGTCCTAGGATAATGGGGACGGTTGCAGACACTCTTATAGATAATTTTATACCTGTAAGCAACGATAAACCATTGCTTACGAAAAAACGATCCTGAGCGGAGTTCAGTTAACAGTGATATTTTGTTAACAATATATATATCATATTATAGTAAAATAATTAAATCGGCTCTATGTATTTTCTTTGATAATATTTGTCTAATGTTGTACCGGTTTCCCCGGTTTTCCTATATTTCCTATATGATCCCGTTTTTTTTTTTCGGTTTTTCACACTTGTTGAACAAACTCTTGAGAAAATCAGTGGAATTTTCTTTTAGAAAAATTGATATCATTAAAAATTGGAGTAAAATTATCTGTAGAAAAGTTGTCCACAGGTAAATAGAATGTCATAATATTTTTAGCTAATACCTACATTTCTTAGATTTTCCCGTTTTTTTTTTTTTTGCTTTTTCACATTTGTGGAGAAAACTCTTAAGAAAATCGAAAAATGAACTCCTAAAGTACTTTTCCACACTGATTTATTTTCAGAAATATGCTACACGTAGAAATCCGATCAAGTCTTCTAGTAGAAAAGCTGTTAATATTTGAAAAAAAAAAAACATCTTTTTAAAACCATAAGCTTCTTCGCTCGACTAAGAATTAAATACGGTATTATCATTGACGATGGCATAGCCAAGAGTATTTTCTTTATCTTGATTTTTTTTTTAGGTAAGAAAATGTAATATGTAGTTTTATACTTATGATTTTAACTTTCTATTCGTCAATACTTAAAAAAAACTAATACTTATTTTTTCTATATACAATTTTGGATGCAAATCAAGCATTTTATCGTTACTCTTATCCATGTTATACAGATACACGGTGTAACTGTAACTAATATGAATAATAGTGGTTTTCTAGAGAAAAGGATTTCAATTATTTACCAATAATGAATGATTTAAGAAAAAAAAATTATCATTAAGTGTTATTTTATTTAAAGAATTAAAGTAATATATATATTTTTTTTTTCTATTTGAAACGGTTGTTTAATTATTTTACAAATATATATCAATATCATTAGTATAGCAATGTGTGAAATACTATTATGTACTTAACGTGTTTTGATTTTCACTTACAGTATTGTACGAAACGATGGGAGTAAATACGTCATTTGTATCTATTGAGGTATTTTGTACACATTGCCGTGTTGAAACATAGCCACTCGACTTCAACTTACCTATAAATGGTATAAGAATATAAGAGGGCCTTTGCGCCAGGATTAGCATCAGGAGGCCGGAGATTCGAGATTTGAGTGTCGGGTGCTTTCAAATATAATATGTTAAACTCTATTGTCAAAGACGCATTCGACCTATTTTGACCATGTTGCTTTTTTTCCCCCCCCCCAAATATTATTTTTCCGCCAAGTAGACGACATGGCTGTTCGTACCGTACCTGTGAGAATCTGTAAGATAACAACAGTGTATAATCTTATAATCTATTGCTGACCATTTTCCTAATGATATATATATTTGTTTTGTTTTGTTTTAATGCGAGCATCCTTTGGTTTCGTACACATTAACTCGTAACGACCCGATCTAAATTTTAGTGGCGATTTTACTACAGTACTGCAACCTATAAGAAGCGCCTTTCTGTGTTTTCTCCACACTCGTTTTCTTAATTTCCGTAGTGCATTGTTATTTCGCGTAACAAGTAAGACTCGTTCCATAAATTCCAACCTTTTTTTTAGTAAACACAAATTAAAAATGTTTATGCGCAAATACGCTCGTATACCCAACACTGCACGAAACGGTTCGCCGCGTCGAAATAATTGTCGTTCCGAACACCACTGGCCGTCCCGCCTGTCGCGCCGCAGTCGGACGGTCAACGGGCCGGGCCATCGGACGCGCTGCGGGACACCGGGCCGTCAAACGGTCGCTCGCCTGATTTACGGGGTGGCGACGACAAAATCGACGGATCGCGCGTTAAGAGAATAGGATATTTTGTTGTCGTTGTAAAGAGACGAAATCAATTTAAGCTTTTCGATTTTCCCGGAAATGTCGAACCTCTACGTCGCGTGCGGCGTTCGCGCTCGTTCCCGAATAATATTAAAATATCGTACGGGTACGCCGGTACATCAGGTACAGTCTCGGTACAGATCAAATCGGAACGAATTATTTCTACGCGAGCCTGTCTCTTTGATGTGCTGCAGGTGTGTCTGCCTACGTGTTTGTATAATAGCTGTACACGCGTACACGCAACGCGGCCGCAGGTAAGCGCGTTTCGTAAAAACATTTGGCGCCCCGGAGACTCCGTTCGGTTCATCGCACTCGGTTCCCGGCGGTATTTTAACGTGCTGCACCCGGTTTCAGACCCGGTCGAACTAAAAACGTTTACATCATGAAATCAAAAAAAAAAAAAAATCGTAGAAACTGCGTTGTCGGGTTCGATAGTGCCGTCAATAGTACGCAATAAACGTGTTGCACCTTTTTTTTTACATATATATAAAACACGTCTAATCTCCGTACGCGATGTAAACATTTTTGTTTTGCTCAGAGGCTCACTCCAATCTGTTGTTTTCCATCTACCTACCTGACGTGATACTGTGCAACAAATCCAGAGTTATTTTCGTTTAAACAGTCCGAACGAACACAGCGATCGCGTGACCTCGATAGTTCTACATAGGTGAACTAATAATGCTTTTCCACTTTTTCTTAGAGGTGGGAAAAAACCATTTTTTTTTTTCTCTAAATTGACACTAACTTTTTTTGGGATCTGGATGGGGAATTTTTTCATCGAATACTTTTTGTCTGTACGCGCTTAATACGAATACGCATTGCCGAATAGATTGTATTGCCGTTTAGACCCTGTATAATTGAGAAGACAAAATAAAAAGTGCAAAACTTAAAATTGAAACACGAAGTATTTCACCGTCCAATAGTGAACCCGTCTCGCTCAGACCCGAGGTGTTGCTCAGGCCCTTTTGCCGGGGCGCGCCGCTCGTTTTCTTGCGCTCCGGCCGGCGACGCGAGCGCCCGCTCGGCTATCCCGCGGTTCAGTTGGCGACCGCCGACCTTCACGGTTTGTACGGCCGGGCGTAATACCGTCCGCGAGCGCGCCGGGTCTCCGGGGGACCGTCGTACGATACCTATATATAATAATAATAATAATAATAATAATATTACGATGCCGGAGATTTCCGTACACACTGTACGGCCCCAGAAATATAAATCTTCGATCCCCGGGAAACTATACACGCGTGTATACGTATATACACCAGCGGCGAGAGTATTTTTCAGTAGTATCGGAAAAATAATGGCCGTACGTCCGTCTATATAATATTCTTGCTCGCGGGTTCCGGGTATCTTTGGTATTCTTTTGTCAAATCAATGTTTATCCTACGTACGTACACGCGGGTAGGTATATAACATACGAGTATAATATGACGTATAGATACACAAAACCTCAGTGTATAATAATAACCGTTCCTTTTATCCTTAAGGGAAATTATTCGCGAACCCGTCCCTTATAGTAACGATAATATAGTTACCAGGCAGAAAAAAAAAAATTACATTTTATTTTATTTATTTAGTTAAAATATCGTATATAATATAATATTCTTCGATGACGCTATTACATATTATTATATACACGGAATTTTTATATAGTGCAGTCATTTTAGATTAAATATAATATATATATATTGTGACGTCACGATAGTATATCGTAACGTATCCGTATACATAAAACCTAATTGTATTATATATATATTTTTATACCAATATTCGTGATTTTTATCTCGACGAAGACGGACAAAAAAAAAAATTCGCGCACAGATATTATTATGCTCCGGATATCTATAAGTTCCATTCGTTTTACAGCGCAGTAATGGTCCGAGTTTCTGCAGGGGCCAAGAGAATTGTTTTTAAGTTTTGAAAAATGTTCGAAACACATTATATGTTACGCGTATATAACTAGAACAAAACTTTAATGATAATCTCACATTAAAAATAGCACTGTTCACAGTAAAGCTTAAATAACTTGTATGGACACATCGTCCGCCCTCTGGAGTATAAATATTTTATTAAACTTGCTGAATTACTTTTACGCGGAAAACCTAAAAGCTTTCAGAAAAATTGCCACTTATTATACTGACGGTATTTATCAATTTAATATTTAAGGAATGACGTCCAGTCTAAATTCAATAAAATACACGTTTCATTGCGTATCGTTAGGTAATATTATTGTATTTCATTGAGAATAACGCTATTCTTCCAATACAAGATGCGCATATAAAACGCACCTATTCATTTTAAGAATTCTTTTTAAATTTTCTTTTTCTCTTTTATGGAGATTATATCGTAAATTTAAACTTTGCAAATTCGTTATGAGGACGGCACACCCGCATGCACCGTTTCCTTCGTACAAGCGTACAACATAACGTTCAATTTTCGTTCATGCAGTGAAGGTTTTGTATTGTTATCATATTATTATATTAATATTGTGGCGTATAATATTGTCGCTAAAATATTTTTGTGAATTTACCTGTTATCAAACTCGAAGATAAGAATACCTATTATCTATACAAATACGTCGGATTTTCAAGATATTTTAATATTTTAGTGAGTTTTGCGAGTATAACGTGAAATACCTAACATAGTTTAAAAATGTTTATATATTATATGATGAAGTCTTGAATTTAAGTGCTCCGTATCATATACTCATACTTCGGAAACCTAATATTTTTGAATTAAAATATTTTGAATAAAAAAATTCAATATATTTATAGTTATATATTCGTTATGTTTTTTGTAGTGTAAATGCATAATGTTAGACTCTTTAGACCAACTTTTCCCACTTTTTTAACTTTAGCAACCGGCATTAATTTTTTTATAGTTTATCCGTATTCAACAAGTTAAGAACTAGCTAAAAAAGGCACTTAAGGTTAAAAAAAAACGATGAAATTTAGGGTTAATAACAGATTACAATACAAACTACATACAATTCACTTAGACAAAATATGCTAAAGTCGATAATCAGATCAATATTTCTAGTAGAATAGTTATTCATCAACAGAAGAAAAAAATGAAATAATTGCACATGATACATTATTATATCATAGTAAAACCGATTAATTTCTAGCTACGCTCAGTATTTATGAATAAAAACAACCTAATTCAAGTTTTCTCAACCAAAAATAATGTATTTACTATAAGTACGGAATTGGCTTGCTTTAGCAATATTTTTCCGGGAAATTATTCGGGATATCCAATATAGGTAAACCATTCATGTATATTCTTGCGAGCGTTCCACTTGATTTCCAAATTTTTTTCCGATTCTGTGAATTTTGAAAATTATTTTTTGATTACCACATTAATGATAGGACACATCCGCTTATCTCGCTAATCTGCTGCCCGATAACTATTCACGGGAATTGGGTACGGCTGCTTTTACATTGTTTACGAACGATAAGTATCTAAACACCTGACAAAAAAACTATATAGCCAAGCGTTACGTGACCCGATAATTGGGACGGGCAACGCTTAAAAAATAAGGTATTCAAATAATATGAATCTCTCTTTTTTTTTCTCCGAATATTTAAGACCGACATTTTTAACACGGTCCATCTAAAACTTAAACCAATAAAATATATTTAATTTTTAAACGGGCAGGCTATTTCTGTATAACCGTTTTTTGGCTGGTAATCATAATCTTTTGAAAACGATACTTCCATGGCCAAATCAGTTATAATAATAACGGTTATATTTTCATCCGTTTCATCAAGGTATCACGTAAGAAAAAATAAACTTTCGTATCAAAATACCTAAAGACACGCGTGAGCCACTTTTTATACGATACAATTTAACATGATCAACACATACATCTAAACGTTGACTTTTATTATTTTAGACAGACAAAAAATTGTCTCCGTGTCACAAATCACAATCATACTAAACTTAAAGTTTTTTTTTTTTTTTAAAAACGAATAATTCGTTGCAGTGGTCTATATTTGCAAGCTCGCTAAAGTTATCGTATTGAAAGAAACGATGTGAGGTAATTATCAACTAATAAATTCGCCAGCTTCGTCCCAAAACCTCATCGATCGAAATCCGTTTAAATTGGATGCACTGCAGTGTTACTCTACACAGTACGATGGCAGTTTGAGATTAAAATAGTCGCGGTATTTTCGTAGTATCAATAACATAATGTACAATAGCAATAACCTGACTTACGAGGTTTTTGACCACAAAAAACCCGTCAGTAAAACGATATTGAAACCGCACGATTCGGTTATACGGGTATATATACTTATTGAAAACAACGTATTCCCTCGTGTTTCCCGATACCTCGGTGACTCGTAAGTCAAAAAAACAGACTATGAGACGAAAGCGCGCGGGATTTTTTTTTTTTTTCGTATCCGTTTTGCCACGCGCCGGTCGGAAAAAAACAAACACAACGGCAGCGGCTGAGGTGGCGACGGCGGCGGTCGCACGAGTTACGGCGAAAGGTTAACGTGGAACGCAAACTCGCCCAGGAACAGGTGGACGCGACGGAGGCGAACGGGAGAGACGCGGCCACGATCGTACGCTCGTTTGGTACGCGGAACACGTCAAAACTCCGACGCCGCCTCGCCGCCTTGTCGAGGGGATTAAAAACGGAGATGATTCTGCGGAAATTTACAACTATAACAAAACCCGACAACCTGCAGCCGTCCCTCCGTCCGTGGGATGATTGCATATTAAGTCGAGGAGTGATGTTTACTTTGTAAGTGAATGTGACGGGGTCACGGCGGTAACGGTCGATAATAAAATGAACGTTTAAAAAATAGCTGAAACCGGGGACGACGGGCGGTGCCTGCATTGTTGTGGGCGCGGAAACTTGGGAAGACGTTCAGTAGGTAAAGGTACGTTTTTTAGTAGATTTAGTTTATATATGTGCGCGACGATAAATAATTGCTAACGAAAAACGATTTGGAGTGGTTAAACGGATGATGATTTGAAAATTTCGTGATTTTAGATTCGGAGTGTACCATAGCGCGGAATGTTTTGATTTTATAATGCATTGGTTTAATCTTTTTTTCACATTGTAAACAACTTTTATGAAGAGATTTCTTGCTTCGATGTAGTAAATGAATCAAAAAAATTATCTACTTGATACTTTAAATGGATAAAAGTATGATTTTTAAGCGGTTTTCATAATAACTAGAAAAAACGAGGATATTTACGAATATAATGCTTTTATTATTTTTGATTTTGTATTGTAATTGTAATTCAGTTAAAATTATTCCTAATGACTTCAAATGTATACAAATGCTCATATTTAGCTTTTATAGATAATACATTTATTCTGTATTTTTCGCTTTTTTTTTTAATAAATGTTTACATTATTGCCGTTTTTTATCATTAAGCGATTAAGGCGCATTTGAAAGCAATTTTTGCTGGTTTTTAGGCATTTTTTCCCTCTGTGTATATTTTTTAAAGCGTTTTCGTCTTATCATACAGGTCTCATTAAAAAAAAAAAATAAAAATACGTATCATATTGTTTTCTGTTTGAATATTGAATTGCAGCATTGACGATGTCTCGACGACTCACGACTATACGAGATTTTAATTATTAACAAAATAATAGTATATCAGATATAGGACACGCTAATTCACTTTGAACTGTGTATAATTGTGTTTAAACAGATCGAAATATCATCAC